TCGCAATAAACAACTGCACCTCCCAGTCGCAAACCATTTCAACTCCCCCTCCCATTCCTCAGATGACATGTCCATCCTGGGCCTCCTGCAGTGCCACAACGATGCCACCCGAAGGTTGCAGGAACAGCAACTCATATTCCGCTTGGGAACCCTGCAGCCCAATGGTATCAATGTGGATTTCACAAGTTTCAAAATCTCCCCTCCCCCTACCGCATCCCAAAACCAGTCCAGCTCGTCCCTGCCTCCCTAACCTGTTCTTCCTCCCACCTATCCCCTCCTCCCACCTCAAGCCGCACCTCCATCCCCTACCGACCAACCTCATCCGGTCCCCTTGACCTGTCCGTCCTCCCTGGACTGACCTATCCCCTTCCTAACTCCCCACCTACACTCACCTTTACTGGCCCCATCCCCGCCTCTTCGACCTGTTTGTTTCCTCTCCACCTATCCTCTCCTCTATCCATCTTCTATCCGCCTCCCACTCTCTCCCTATTTATTTCAGAAACCCCTTCCCCTCCCCCTTTTCTGATGGAAGGGTCTAGGCCCGAAACGTCAGCCTCTCTGCTCCTATGATGCTGCTTGGCCTGCTATGTTCATCCAGCCCTGCACCTTGTTGTCTCGTAATAATACACAGGTCTTTCTCCGAGTGGCAGGCAGTGAGTAGTGGGGTACTGTGGGGATCAGTGCGAGGGCACCAGCTATTCACAATATGTATTAACCATTTAGATGAGGGAGTTTTTCAGATGACACAAAACTGGATGGGAGGGTGAGCTGTGAGGAGGATGCAATGATGATTCAGTATGATTTGGACATATTGAATGAGTTGGCAAATGTGTGGCAGATGCAATATAATGTGGAAAATGTGAGATTATCCACTTTGAGAATGAAAACAGGACGGTAGATTATTATCTGAATGGCTAGAAATTGAGAAGGGAATGTGCAACGAAACCTGAGTCTTCTTGTTCACCAGTCACTGAAGGTAAGCAGGCAGGTGTAGCAGGCAGTAAAGAAAGCTAATAGTATGTTGACCTTCATAACAAAGGAATGCAAAAACAGGAGCAGGGATGGATTGCTGCAATTATACAGGACTTTGGTAAGACTGCACTTGGAATATTGTGTGCAGTTTTCTTTTCTGGCTATGGAGACAGTGCAACAAAGATATATCAGACTGATTCCTTGAATGACAGGACAAAGAGAAACTGGATCAATTAGAACTCTATTTACTAGAGTTTAGAAGAATAAGAGATCTCAATGAAACCTATAAATTTCTAACAAGACTAGACAGGGTAGATGCTGGAAGGATGTTCCTGATGGTGGGGGAATTCAAACCACAGGGGTCACAGTCTAAGGATACAGGGTAAACCATTTAGGACTGAGATTAGGAGAAATTTCTTTACCCAGAGAGTGGTATGATTTTAAGAAGGAGTTGGATAAATCACTTGGGACTAATGGAGTCAAAGACTATAGGAGAAAAATGGGAGCAGGTTAATGAGTTGGATCAACAGTCTTGATCATAATGAATCGAGCCCAAATGGCCTCCTCCTGCTCCTATTTCCTATGCTTCCATGTTCCAAAATTCAGAGTAGCCTGATCAGGTAATTGGTCACACTGGATTTGTTCTTCTTTTCTTTGACAGAGCAGACTGTGCAATTTTTCATATTATTGGATAGGTGCCAGTTTTTACCTGTACTGGAACTACTTAACTTGAAACAGAATAGGTTGTGGAAGACAGGATTTCAACTGGAATGTTGTCAAGGTCCATAGCCTTCGCTGAGCCCAATAGATTTGGCCATTGCTTGAAATTACATTCAGTGAATCAAATTGGCTGTAGACTGGCATCTGTGATCCCTTGGAGCTCAGGAGGAGGCTGAAATTAATCATCCACTCAGCAATTCTGGGTAAAGATGATTGCCAATGCGTTGTCTTTTGCACTCATCCTGGAATGTGCCATCATTGAAAGTAATCATGGAGCCGCCTCCTCCCATCCACTGTCTATGCTGGTTTCATTGTTCCACACATATGTAGTTATAAAATCATACAATACAGATGAGTCATTTCAAGAGCTCATCCTAATATTTTTTAAAGGTTGTGAGGTTTCCCATCTCAACCACCCTTCAAATACATTCCAAAAATATTTTCCTCAAATCTTATCTAATCCTTCAGCCTTTCACCTTAAAACTATGCCCCTTTGTCAGTGGCCCTTCAATCACCCTGTCCATGCCCCTCAATTTTATACACCTCCATCAGATCCCCTCTCAGCCTTCTCTGTTCTAAAGAAAACAACTTGAGCTTTTCCAGCTTCTTGGTAGCTAAACTTCTCCATGCCTGGCAACATCATGGTGAATCTCCTGATCACCCCCTCCAGTGCAATCACATCCTTTCTATTGCGCGTTGACCAGAACTGCATGCAGTGCTCCAGCTATGGCCTAACCAAAGTTCTGTACACCTCCAACACAACCCCCTGCTCTTATAATCTATGATACATCTGACAAAGGCAAGTGTACTGTATGCCTTAACTACCCTATTAACCAATCCTGCCATCTTCAGGTATTCTGTCACAAGCACCCCGAGATCCCTCTGTTTTTCTGAGCTTCCTAGTGTCCTGCCATGTCTTGTTACTTGTTCCAAAGTGCAACACTTCACGCTTATTAGAGTTAAAGTTCATCTGCCACTAATCTGCCCATTTGACCAATCTATTTCTATCCTCCTGTAACCTTAATATTGTGTTCTCATTGACGTGGTCCAAGATGGCAGTGGAGGAGGGGTCCTGAGCAGGAGCTCATCTGCTCTGATCACTCTTCTTCTTTTCTTGCTCTCTTTTTAGTTTCTTAGCTTTTATTTTCTCGACTTACCTTCTGGAGGGAGCTCGGTTGTGGAGGGACTGGCTGCAATGGCAGTAACTGGAGGCTTTGGGGGTCGACGGCATTGCAGCTTCTTCAAGGTTCAGAGCAGTACTAGAGTGGAAGTCCAGCGGGAGTATGGGAGCAGACAGCCTGTGGCAGCTCGTGGTGAGAGTGGGAGTAGGCACCCCGGGGCGGCTGGTGGCAAGAGTAGGAGCAGAGCGTAGCAGTAGCAGGAACAGGCTTAAATACAGTGAGAGCAGACAGCCTGGGACGGGGGTGGGGCAAGGTCGAGCCCTTGTGAGAAGTGTGAGCCCAGCATGGCTAGGCACTTACGGACTGTCGTGTTGATCTATTAACTATATTTCTTTGTTTTTTCTACTTTTTAGTAAGAAGGACTGTATTGTTTAAATTTTTAAACTTTGTTTTCCTTATTTTTCGGCTTTGTACCTAATATTCTGTACCTAGGTACCTTTGTCCTAAGATGGTTCCATATGTGGCAACTTGTAAACTTTTCCACTGCATTTATGTGAGTACATGTGACAATAAACTTACTTCAATTCAATTCACTTCAGAACATTGCCACCATGATTTTTTTGTTACCTGTCATGCTCTTTTACATTCCCCAAGCCCTGGCTTGATAGTAAAAGTACATTGAGGAATGTGTCAGGCCAAGACATTAAGAATACAATTCTACTGCTGTTGATGGCATACAGCTCCCTGTGGACATCCAGATTTGACCTGCATGATCTGTTCTGAATCTAACCAGCTTATCACAGTGGTAATGCCTCATGTCATGGTTGAGGGTATCCTCAGTGTTAAGATGGAACTTGTACACAAGAACTGGGAGGTGATTGCTCCTACCAATGCTCTCGTAGATATATCTGCAATATGCAGATTGATGGAAATGAGTTCAAATAGTTTTTCTAACTTGATGCACATTTCTGGGGATGAAGCAAGGTTTAGACAACATTTTGCTAGTCACTAGATGATTGATGTGGCCATGGGACACAAAAATTATGAATTTCCATTTTCAGATATGAGCACTTTTCAGTTCAAAAGTTCCAAAATGTCTCAATAAATTAATAAGTAGGGCCTTGGGAATCATGCCTATTCATTTATGAAAGCTGAATTTCATTGCAATTAATTCATTTACCCCACAACATGGTACAGAAATTATATCCTAAATGATTTTACCATGAATCCTCACAGCAAGCCATTCGGCCCATCAAGTCTACATTAACCCTCCAAACAGCATCCCACCCAGACCCACCCCGCCATTGTAACCCTGTATTTCCCATGGCTAAACTGTCTAGTCTGCACAGCCCTGGACACTATGGGCAATTTAACATGGCCAATCCACCTAACCTGCACATCTTTGGACTGTTGGGGGGAAAACCAGAGCACCCAGAGGAAACCCACACAGAATGTACAAACTCCACAGAGACAGTCGTCCTGAGGCTGAAACTGAACCGGGGTCCCTGGTGCTGTGAGGCAACAGTGCTACCCATTGAGCCACCATGCCGCCCATTTTAGAGCACACAAAGATACTGAGAGGATGTTTCCTCTCATCGGAGAGTCTAGGAGGAGGGGGTATAGTCTCAAAATAAAGGGGCACCAATTCAAGTGTGAAGTGAGGAGGAATTTCTTCTCTCAGAGGGTTGAGAGTCTTTGGAAATTCTTGCCACAGAGAGCTGTGTGGGTAGAGTTCGTGTGTATATTTTAGGCTGAGATAGATAAATTCAAGCATTATGGGGAAAGGGCAGAAAAGTGAATGTGAGGAATGTCGGATCAGCCATGATCCTATTGAATGGCAGAGCAGGCTCAAGGGGCCAAACAGCCTACTCCTGTTCCTATTTCTTATGGTCTTATGGATACCATTTGACGCTATGGATCCATGCTGGAATTTATTTACCACACGAACCACCTCCCACCTTTATCTTGCCTTATCAAGAAATATAATTTTGAACATTTCTGTTAACTTTGTATGTGAGAGGTGATGAAGATTGCTATGTTTAAAGTTCAGAATAACTAGGATAATTAAACATATATTTGAAGAACAATGAACAGAACATTTTGTGAAGTTCAGATCCAAAAATAGAAATATAAGAAAAAGTTTAGAAAACTTCAATTTTAATAATCAATTCATTTTATATACACACAGATATATAGTTCGCACTAAACAATTGTTCTGTAAACATTTTCTAACTGAGCAAAGTTAGCAATTGCAAGACTGTCTTAAATATTACAGAGTTTAATTTGGGATAATTACAAAGACCCAAATTAGTTATCCAGCCTCTCAACAATAATATATTATAACACAATTGGAAGACAAATGCATGACTGATGTCCAAATGCAGTATATATGCTTCAGTCTACTTACTCTGCTTTCCCTTCTATTAGGTGAAATGTAATATTCAAAATCATTTAAAATCCTTTATGTTTTTATAATATTTTCTAAGTTGACAAAGTAGAGTACAAGATATTCCTGTGAGTGCAATGGAAGTACCTAGTCTTCTCCAAAAAGAAAATAATGCCATGCTTAATCGAAATGCTAGGTAATATGGACCATGAAGTTTGTTGTTACCTTTTAAAATCAAGAATCTATATATTATAAATCAATTAATTATGTAGGATTGTGCCATTTATTATCCTAAACTGACTAATTTATCAATTATTGCCACAATTAGTTTACTACCTGAGTATTTTAACCCACTGAGTACTGAAATTCCCTCATACAGTTTACTCAAGATAATTTAAAGTAATTTTTGCATTAAACAATTGGTGAAAACAACTTGAATTAAGCAACATAAATAACACAGCAAAGTGGGAGCTTAAGGCAAAAAAAGAATCAAATAATGGTAGTGTAGATTAAGAGTAAACTGTACACTACTCAACATAACTTATGTTATTATTTAACAATTTTGAGTCAAAGCTAAAGTTGAATACTATAAAAGAAGTTGGTGATATACAATGTAAAAAATATCAAAGAAAGTATAAGAAGTATTTTAGGCTTTAAAAAATCCCATATCAAAATACTATAAAATGATTATATAGTGCTCAAGGGGTTAAAAAGGCCTGGTGCAATACTTCCTGACTAAATTAATTATATTCATTGTACTGGTATTCTGGTCATTGGTAATGATAAAAAGAATCTGACAACTTTTTGTCATTCTTCATTAGTTAACCATGAGTAAATCTAAACCATTTTCAGGTGCTTCACAATTTATGTTTTTTTTTACAATTCTGGAGCTTTATCACATATTTACATATTTAACATCTTTTTTTTCATAATTATATAGAAAGTTGCTTTATTTGATTACAATCCAGTTATTATATTTTAAAAATGTAATCTTAAATGGGTATCAAGAACAGTAGCCCAAACTTGTGTTCTAGATAAAATAGCACAATTTGAGGTTTAAGTGCCAGGCACTCAAAAGGTTAAAAATTAGACATTTGGTCAAAGAAATGCATTTCTAAGCAAATAAACCAAGCCATATGATTGCAACAAAAACACCCTCAAGCCTTGGCTCTATTTCAAGCATTGACCACTCGTTGGCAAAAATTGACTGAATAAAATTAGGAAGGAAAGAAAACAAGCAAGGTTTTTGTCAACAACAAATTGTTCCATCACAACGGTGGAAATGATAAATCAAGTAGTAATTCAATTTTCAATCAGATTAATTACTCCTAGTGACCATGCTTCAATTTTCTTTCGTTATTTGACAGTAAGCAACACTGTAAAAGCAGCAATCAAAATAAGCATGCAAACAGCATACTAATGAAGCAGTTGACCTTTCAATGTTTGTTACAAAGACAATGTAACAATGTTCATGGAATAGGGATGAAAGTGTTGTGGAATATCATATAATAGTCAAATGTAGCACTCAGAAAAGCAGTACCGGAATTAGGTGGAAAAATTGAGCTGATGTGGTATTGATGAAACTTGAAGTAAACGGAGTCTCTCATCCTATAAATTTATGAAGCAAGATTGGGACAGGATGAAAAAAAGTCACTATTATCCAGATGATATTGCCAGCATCACAAAACACTTATATAACTGTTAAACTATATATATTTTCTGATTGCGAAAGGTGACTTTAGTTCAGGAAAACTAACAATAACTTTCAACATGTTTCTAGACAAGGCAAGAGAATTGGGCAAAGCAGCAAAATGCTTAATAGTAATTATTAGGTTACAATAATCCATAAACCTGTGTATTATCTTACACTGCTGCTTGCAAAGTTCAGTTAATGACAATGAAAGTTTACCTCCTAATTTTATGCTGTTACATAATTGATCATCTATCTACTGTGCTCAAAGTGCCAAAAATATCTCTCTTTACAGTTATTAACAGCATGTGCTCTACACTTAAAGCAAAGATTACAGGGAATATTTCCAGTGAAAAAAATGCCACTGCAGTTTTAAAACAACTTTAGAACATACCTCCCACCTTGTGGAATAGTTTAAATTTAGTGGACTATTTCACTTCCTCTGAAGTCTTCGTATATTGTATATTCAAGGACGTACAAATACTAAACCAATTTGAGTTACTGAATTCCATGCAAGTAAAGGAATATTAAGGATTGACATAATAATAAAGTGGTTTTAAGTAATGAGCAGAGTTGACATGGCAGTGTCTTCATGGGGAGGGAATGAACCATTAAACTAATGTTGACTCCTATTAGATTTTTATTCTTAAACTGAAAACCTTATATGGGAACTACTTTATATATGAAGTACTCCATTTAGCTGCTCATATTCCTTTAAATAACTGAAAATGACGAATGTTTGAGACTTAAATTTTATTTGGAAATTTTAAAAGGTGGTTTGGTTTTCTCCACCATAATCTTAAGAGTCCTTGTCACTGAAATTCAATGTAAATTCAAATTAGTAACCTGTCCCTCACATCACTTACTTATAATATTCTAGTCTGCTTCCCATTAATAACTTCATTCCTGTTCAAATTGCTCTGCTTTGCCATTTAATAACACAAAATAGCACTGACATGTTCAGGTCTGATAGAAAAAGTTAAATTCTGGCACACATTTGTAGCCTGTATAGCAGGTGATCTACATTTATAAACTATTTAATGTAACTAGTTGAAATATTTAAACATTTCATCCAAATGTACATAGTGGTTACAAGCAGAAATAACTCTTGATAGCTTATGAGTTAGTATAGTTAATAATCACTGATGGCCGCAACTTTAACAAAGTACAAAATTAGTGTCTTAATTGCAAATCAGTGCTTAGACAGATACTTAGAGGGTGAATGCAGCTTGTTCTGTACAATTGTTTGCCAATTCCTTTATGCTCTTTTCAAAGGTCCTGGATAAGTGAGATTCAGGTCACATTTAGAACTTCAGTTGTGACCGAATGTCAAAATGAGGATGAAAGGGTTAATTAAATATTTCTTTTTAATATTCTCCCTCCTGTACGGAAGTCTTACCTGAGACTACAAGGAATTTCATACTGTCCCTCAAAAGACCCAGAAATTTGAGGCCTACAGACAGTGTGAAAAAAGATTACTTTGCTCCACTTACAGAATTACATCCATTTTAATAGCAGAATCCTCTACAGTAGAAAAGTAGGCCACCACATGCTACAGATAACCATCTGTACATTCATGCTTTAACCAGACACTTCAAGTAAATCTGACAAAGAAATTGGTTAATATTATGCATCAGACATTTTGGAAATACTAAAAGAGAGCATGATCCCTTGGCCTTTATCCAGTCTTGTGTAATGTGTTGTCTTCCAGGGTGACAGCTTGTAGTGCCACTTAGTTCTCAGTTGAGTTGTGTATTTTTTTAGAAAAGTCCGTATCCTCACACTGTCTGCAGCATGCTCAGTCACTATCTGAGGTTGCCATAGAAACATATTTAAAATGGAACACAGGGGAAAGAAAGAAGAAGCTATTTCTGATCAGACCTCACTTTCAGTTGAGGGTTTGCGATTGTGCTTCCAGCCAGTGTCAGGTAAGGGGAGACCGCTTCTTTCCTGTGAGCTTGTGTTTACACTGCTGCACTCGGACAGTGGTTCATCCTGTAGCAGTTGTTCTGTCTCTGTGTCACCAAGTGAGTCTGTGCTGCCCTGGATAGACAGTGTTTCTGCCTTCATGCAAACATGATCTCGAAGAATTCCACCTCGCATGGTCTTAATTTGTTTCAAGTCATCCCAATACATGTCATCATTTGACAGCAAGCAGATGCCTTCAACAATTTTTATCTTTCCTTTTGTGTAACTATTATCTGAAGCAGTCTGTAAAAGAGAAGGCAAACAGTTTGATTCTGAACCTATTAACCCATACGTTTTATCTAATTAATGCTTCACAAGCTGGCCGCAGCACGTTTGAATTTCATATCTAGCAGTTCCCCTATATTGTTCACTTAATTTTCAAGAGTTCATATTATAGTTTCCAATGTAAGAAGTAATTGTGATGGACCTCTTCAGAAAATATATAGACATCAGCCCACAAGCATGACCTGAGACTCCAGTTATTTGCCATTTTAGTTCTCTATCCTCTTCTACGCTGACATTCTCACTCTCCTACACTGTTCCAATGACGTTCAATACAGATATTTTTAATCAACATGTTCAGACATGTCATGACACACCTTTGCAGCAAGTGGGACTTGAACCTGGGCCTTTTTGCATGAGGCTGAACATATGCTTAAGTAATGCCATCATTTACCTTGATTAGACACTTTATAATCAACTGGACTCAAATACTAACTTCAAAAACTTTGGATAAGTAGTGCTGTTCCCATTTCTTTCAGATAGCAGGTGCTGTTAATGATTCTGCTGTTGTCATTTGTACATCTACAAAACCATTACTACTCCTTTTTGCTTTATACCGTTATCCTTTTTGTCACTTAATCAATGCCCTCCAACCTATCACAGACCTACTCTTTTATCTTTGTTCCCATCCCTTCCCCCTTTTTCCTAAATCTATTCATTCAGTTTTAAACCTTCTGGTTCCAATGAAAGGTTAACAACCTCAAACATTAACATTGTGTCCACCTCTATACATGTTGCCTGAATTACTGCGTATTTCAATCATTTTCTCTCTTTATTTCAGATTTACAGCATAGAAACAGAAAATAGAACCAGGAGAAGCCATTCAGTATGACAATGGCTCATCATCCAATGAAATACCCTATTCCAGCTTTCTCCCCATGCCTTTTGATCCCTTTAGACCTATTTCCTTGAAAACATTCAATGTTATGGCCTCAATTGCTTTCTGAGAGAATTCCATAAGCTCATCACTCTCTGCATGAAGAAATTTCTCAGCTCAGTCTAACATGTTTAAATTGTGACCCTTGGTTCTGGATTCCCTGGTCATTGGAACATCTTTCCTGTTGTTTACCGTATCTAGTACTGTTAGAATTTTATAGGTTTCTACAAGATCACCCTTCACTGTTTTAAACTCCAGTAAACAGAGTCCTAACTGATGCAGTCTCTCCTCATACATTAGTCCTGCCAGCCCAGGAAGAGGCATGCACATAAACCTCTGATGACAAAGCAATATCTGCAGCATCTTATTTTTTATTGTTATGTTTGTACATGTTTAAGCTTTTTTTGATTCATCATGCCCTCACTTAGCTTACTTTTAATTGCTTACATCTACATTTTATAAAACAAAATGCACAGTGATCTACAATTATGACATCTAAGAACTTGCTTTTTCCAATCACAACCCAATATTCACAGCAATTTTCCTCAATTAAGTGGACCAATTTTCCTGACCTATTTCCAAGCATTTTCCCAATGACTGCCCCTTCTGTCTCCACTGGAAGAAATCTAAAAGACAAATTCCCTGGCTACGTAAAGTTACTAGTAGCAATTCCTTAAGGGCCATTGATTTTGCTGCTTCATGTAAGCAGCCAAAGGGCAAGGCATGTGTAGCGCACAGCCTATCTTATTGCTTTATAAAGATCCCCCAAATATCTTTCAACCGGCACTGGAATCCCAGTTAAACATTTACAAAAGCTCCCCTCCATAACGGACTCACTGTTAAAATTACATGAACAGGTCCCTCAGGAAGGTTTCATTTCCCTCAGAAGTTTGCAAATTGCTTGGCCACAGAACCTTGTTGCCAAGAAGACAGAAGCAATGCTTCATGTTCTGTCAACACCATGTCTGGAAGGACATCATTTGTGGAAGAATCCTACCTTTCTTTGTAACCTTGCGACCTGAATGATTTCTGAAGAAGATATATGGATTTTTGGGATGAATTTTAACATGGCTCACCCTCAGCCCCAGACAGGAGGGATGTAAAGAAACTCCGTCATAATCTGCCTTCAGCCTGCCCACTTGAAGTTTTAATGGAAGCAGCACAATGACTGGAGAAGAGAATGGGCAGCTTGGTAACTTACCTACTCATAAAGGATAGATTAATCATTTAATTTGACTGAAGCTACATGCCTCATAATGAACAATCCTTGAAAAATTAACTTGGCCTTCTGACAACACAATAGCTAAACGGAAGCAAGGATTGCCAGATTCAGGAACTAAGTCCCTCCCCACTCACCCACTGGATCTATTTTTGTGCTTCCACCCACCTTTACTGAGATCAGGCAGATATGGGGTAGAGCGAGGTGGTGGAGAGGTAAATCTGGATGCCATAAATATAGAGCTTAATCTTCATGAAGTAAAATGCTTTCACCAAGGAAATAAAGAATGCTGAGGATAGATCATTGATGTGTGCTGTAACCATGTGGGACTGGAAAGAGGAGTCATTGCTGCAAGGTTCTCCAGCTACATCTAGATAATACATCTAGATGGGGCGGCACGGTGGCTCGGTGATTAGCACTACTGCCTCACAGTGCCAGTGACCCAGGTTCGATTCCACCCTCAGGCGACTGTCTGTGTGGAGTTTGCATGTTCTCCCTGTGTCTGTGTGGGTTTCCTCCGGGTGCTCTGGTTTCCTCCCACAGTCCAAAGATGTGCAGGCTAGGTGAATTGACCATGTTAAATTGCTTGTGGTGTTCAGGGATGTGTAGATTAGGTGGGTTATAGGGGAATGTGTCCGGGTGGGATGCTCTGAGTGTCGGTGTGGACTTGTTGGGCCGAAGGGCCTGTTTCCACACTGTAGGGATTCTATGAATTAATAGTGCACCATGTGAAGGAAGTTGCTCTGAGCTGAAGAAGAGTACTGTGGTGTGGTTAATCATGTAAGAGAATGCAGAAACAAGGAGGGTCCATGCATTTGTGTCACAGTCAGAGAAAATGTCAATTACATAGAATTCTCATGAATATGCAGCACATAGGCGATGGCCCAGTGGTATTATCACTAGACTATTAATCCAGAAACCCAGCTGCTGTTCTGGGGACCCAGGTTCGAATCCCATGGCAGATGGTTGAATTAAATAAAAAAGTCTGGAATTAAATATCTACTGATCACCATGAAATCATTGCTGATTATCGGAAAAACCCATCTGCTTCACTAATGGAAAGGAAATCTGCCACCCTCACCTGGTCTGGCCTACATGTGATTCTAGACCCACAGCAATGTCGTGTGACTCTCAACTGTCCTCTGAAATGGCTAGCAAGCCACTCAGTTGTACCAATTGCTGCAAAGACTCAAAGAAATGACACTGGATGGAACTCCTGGCATCGACCTAAGCACCGGAAAAGACAAGGGCAGAAACAGCCCTGTTGACCATGCAAAGTCCTCCTCACTAACATCTGGGGGTTAGTGCCAAAATTGGGAGAGCTGTCTCACAGACTAGTCAAGCAACAGCCTGACATAGTCATACTCACAGAATCGTACCTTACAAACAATGTCCCAGACACCACCATCGCCATCCCTGGATATGTCCTGTCCCACCAGCAGGACAGACCCAGCAGAGGGGGCGGCACAGTGGTATACAGTCAGGAGGGTGTTGCTCTAGGAGTCTTGAAGACCCCATGATGTCTCATGGCTTCAAGTTAAATATGGACAAGGAAACCTGCTGACTACCACATACTGTCCTCCTTCAGCTGATGAATCAGTATTCCTCAATGTTGAACAACCCTTAGAGGAAGCACCAAGGCTGGCAAGGGCACAAAATGTACTCTGGGTGAGGGATTTCAATGTCCGCCAACAGAAGTGGCTCGGCAACAGCACTACAGCTGGTCAGGTCCTAAAGGACATAGCTGCTAGACTGGGTCTGCGGCAGGTGCTGAGGGAACCAACAAGAGGGAAAAACATACTTGACCTCATCCTTACCAATTTGCCACATGCAGCTGCATCTGTCCATGACAGTATCGGTAAGAGTGACCATTGCACAGTCCTTGTGGAGACAAAGTCCTGCCTTCGTATTGAGAACAACCTCCTTCGTGTTGTGTGGTACTATCACCGTGCTAAATGGGACAGTCTTCACACAGATCTAGCAACTGGGCATCCATGAGGCACTATGGGCCATCAACAGCAGCAGAATTGTACTCCAACATAATCTGTAACCTCATGGCCCGGCATATCCCCCACTCAACCATTACCATCAAGCCAGGGGATCAACTCTGGTTCAAAGAAGAGTTTAGGAGTGCATGCCAGGAGCAGCACCAGGCATACCTGAAGGTGAGGTATCGACCTGGTGAAGCCACCAAACAGGACTACTTGCACGCCAAACAGCGAAAGCAGCAAATGATAGACAGAGCTAAGCGATCCCACAACCAACAGATCAGATCTAAGGCTCTGCAGTCCTCTGCATCCAGTCTTGAATGGTGGCGGACAATTCAACAACTCACTGGAGGAGGAGGCTCCACAAATATCCCCATCCTCAATGTGGAAGAGTCCAGCTCATCAGTTTAAAAGATAAGGCTGAAATATTCGCAACAGTCTTCAGCCAGAAGTGCCGAGTGGATGATCCATCTCGGCCTCCTCCAGTGGTCCCCAGCATTACAGATACCAGTCTTCAGCCAATTCGATTCACTCCACTTGATATCAAGAAACAGTTGGAGACACTGGATACTGCAAAGGCTACGGGCCCTAACAACATTCCGGCAATAGTACTGAAGACTTGTGCTCCAGAACTTGCTGCTCCCCTAGCAAAGCTGTTCCAGAACAGTTACAACACTGGTATCTACCCGTCAATGTGGAAAATTGCCTAACTACGTCCTGTACATAAAAAGCAGGACAAATCCAACCCAGCCAATTACTGCCCCATCAGTCTACTCTCGATCATCAGTAAAGTGATGGAAGGTGTCATCAACAGTGCTATCAAGCAGCACCTGCTCAGAAATAACCTGCTCAGTGACGCCCAGTTTGGGTTCTGCCA